ACCTTTGAAGCATAGTTCTGATTCTAAGACTTGACTCTTACTTGACAGGTTAACAACACTACTTTAGCTGGGTACTTGGATCCATTTATAATAAAGTTAGAAATGACTTTGGAATGTTTTAAAAGTCTAGGGCCAAGTCTGTGTTGATGGTTGATTTTGTTTGGGTGGTTTGCCTCGTACAGAGGTGTTTGTGGATTTGGTCCCTTTTAGGTTTTCCTACTGGGGCAGGAGCCCTGAACTCTAAGAGCCAAGCCTGAATTTCTCATTTGCTTATGTGTGAGTAACTAAACATTTCAGTGAATGGATGTGAATTTATATAGATGGAAAATTTGGTTTAGATTCCAATTTGCAGACCTAAAACATCCTCCCCACATTTCTTTGCCTTCTTCTGGTTTATATTCATATTCTGTACCTTTAAAAATGTGTCTTCATGTTGGTAATTAAAGTTTAGGTCTGTCGAAACTTTCACAGCACTCGCGTAAGATGTCAACAAGATTTGTAAAGCAAAACACATGTCCTTGAACAGATGAGGAAACTGAGGCTCAGAGAAGGTGATTTGTGCCCAGCTGCTCTGGGAAGTGGCACAGGAGTGTGCCAAAGTCACAGCTCACTCAGGGTGCCAGCTCTTGACAGTTCACCTTTCTCCCAAGGGCATAAAATTATACATAAAGTATGGAGTGATCTACAAACGGCTATCCAAAAGGGAAGTTAGGCCCGTCAGCTCATTCATATTTCAAAATATTTGTCAACATTTGACCACAGATATTTCTCATTCAGAGCAGTGTGTTAGAAAATTGGGTTCAAGCCAGACAGAAACCTAAAATAGGCTTTGCAGTGTCTGCTGGTGGAAAACAGACGGGTAAGTGGCCTGGGGACATGGTGAAGTAGAGTATTGTTTCCATTCGCTGGCTCAGCTGTTGTTTAGGCATTGAAAAGCTATAAAAACTCTTAGGTTTCATCTCATCGGTTACTATGTGGAAAATGAAGGCTTAGAAGAAGTTTTTTTTGACAGCAGTTTGCTAACCTGGACCCAAATTCTGCAGATATCCTAGTCATTACTTGGTGTCAGAACTCAGATTGAGTCAAATGGTAAGATTTATGCTTTGTGCAGCTCCGAAAATGTCATAATTGTGATATACTGTGATAAATTCTTTTCTCCCCATTTCTATTTTAGTGTTTAAATGGGTGAGAAGAACATTAATTGCTCTCGTTCAGGTCACTTTTGGAAGAACCATCAACAAGTGAGTTTCATGAAATGACTGTTTGAATTAATGCCTTACTCTTTGCCTTAAAAATCAAATTACCTTGTGATATAGTAGCCGGGGAACTCTCTAGGTGAAGGTATTATATTTTCTCATTTTGTTTCCATTAGGATTCTAAGATTGGATAGGGAAAGAATTTCTCCCACAGGATGCATGGTGAACTAGATGATAAAAGCTTGAGCTAGCTTCAGCATTCTGGCTGACAGGGTCAGGAAATTCTGTTCTGTAGGGGCACCTGGCTGCTCAGTGGGTGGAGCGTGTGACTCTTGATCTCAGGGTTGTGAGTTCAAGCCCCATGTTGGGTGTAGAGATTAGTTAAAAAAAAAAATTAAATTAAAAAAACAAAAAAACCCTAAAACCCTAAAAGTTCTGTTCTGTAAAGTTCTCTTTTGATCATGATGACCAGTTTGAGTATCTTGGGTATAGTGTTTTTATGTTGCATGATGGGAATCAGTTTAAGGCTTAGACTCTAAGCCAAAATGAAAGTGCAATAAACATCATCTGGCAGGTATTTATTTGGAGGGAAATGCAAACCATGTGTGTTTTTTTTTTTTTCCCCCGAGTTGTGGTAACATTAAAGTGGTAATTGCTTTTATTAGTTCATATCTTAATACCCATCCATTGAGATATGTGGACATATACCACCATTGTAAGCCATGTGTATATTCTAAGCAATGGTACATTATCCATACACATGAGAGTTTAACTCTATATCCAGTACTCTTATGACTTCCTGTATAATAAAAATGTGAATTACTTGCTAAAAGATAAGGGGGGAAGTCAGTTTTTTTTGTACAGAAAAATATTTTAAGATGAAATTACCAGATTTTCCCTAGTGAAAGATGAGCTGTTAAAACCATCATAGTGATTTTGTACACATAGTTATCAGGTAAATCTTACACGTTTTTAAGGGAAACAGTAAAGAGCAAGGTATTTTTTTATTCATTCCCAAATAGAATATATTTTCCTTGTGGTCAGAAGCAAAATTTACTTGTCAGATTTTTTAACAAATGGTATTAGTGGCATATTTAGTTGACTTAGTATCATAGGCTTTTGTTTTCGTCAGAAAGATGTCCTGTTGAACTTACCATTTCAATCTAAGGCAAACCTCTTAACTGTTACATAGATGGGCTTTGGATAAAGAAAATTCCAAAATGGCCCTGTATTTCCCAGTACTCCAGATGTGCTAATTTATTTTCCTTTTCAGTTTCAGCAAATCATGCACACTTTTCTTGCTCCTATTTATGATATTGGCTCTTAATTATAAATGAGCAGTGGCGGTCTGTGTGTGGTGAATCCATTGGCAGTTATTTTGATGGGGCTTGGAGGAGAGGCGTCATGTAGAGAGTTTTCAGGCCGTTCATTTCAGTGGGCTTTTTATCAGGCAGAGAAATGATGGAGCACCTGGCCCTTTGCTATTTTTGCCTTTCGCAGAGAGAACACATCACAAAATGAAGCAGCAGCACAGTATGTGCTTCGTGCCTTGTCCCAGCTATAATTTCACACACCAGGATTGATTCAAAAGCTTCCTTTGGTTTTGGCTAATTGAGAGTCAGACTTAAATTGATAGAAAATACGTAGGTGATGGCCTTTGGTACGAGTCACTTACCTAATTTTGAGTTGCAAAGTGAAATTTTCTTCATGTAGTGCCAGTGAGTAACTCAAAACAAGACTGGGTAGGGGCGCTGGGTGGCGCAGTCGGTTAAGCGTCCGACTTCAGCCAGGTCACGATCTCACGGTCCGTGAGTTCGAGCCCTGCGTCGGGCTCTGGGCTGATGGCTCGGAGCCTGGAGCCTGCTTCCGATTCTGTGTCTCCCTCTCTCTCTGCCCCTCCCCCATTCATGCTCTGTCTCTCTCTGTCCCCAAAATAAATAAACGTTGAAAAAAAAAAAAGACTGGGTAGGGGGGCGGCGGAAGGTGTCTGCGTTTTTACGTAGATTTTTCTTAGGCAGGCAGGCAGGTTGGCAGGTTCTCTCTTAAAGCAGAAGTCCCGGGGCGCCTGGGTGGCGCAGTCGGTTGAGCGTCCGACTTCAGCCAGGTCACGATCTCGCGGTCTGTGAGTTCGAGCCCCGCGTCAGGCTCTGGGCTGATGGCTCGGAGCCTGGAGCCTGTTTCTGGTTCTGTGTCTCCCTCTCTCTCTGCCCCTCCCCCGTTCATGCTCTGTCTCTCTCTGTCCCAAAAATAAATAAAAACGTTGAAAAAAAAATTTAAAAAAAAAATAAAAAAAAGCAGAAGTCCCATTAAATTAATACAATTATTTTATTTGGTCTAGATATGAATTGACCAGTTCTAGGCAGCATAGGGAAGTATCTTAGGAGACATGCAGTTATAAACAGAATTAACCCAGTTTTAACTCATAGCAGAGTGTAGACCACAGTGGTAACTGATAACTGTGCAAAGTACGAGGCTTGAAACATCTATTTCAGATACTGTTTCTGAAAGCCTTACATTGCCCCTCTAAAAATCAGGTTGGGAAGTCAGATTCTTTAAAGGCTTTTTGATTTATTGTAATTCATGAATTGAGTTTGAAATTTCAGGTCTTTCTGGCATCGTCAAGATTCTTTCCCCCTTTTCACCCTCCAACCTCTCTTGGGGTCTTTGAACTGTGTTACTTGTCTCTCGACAGTAGAAATCCGGTCACGGGTTAGAATTTTTCTAATGACTAATGAAACAGGGTTGCGTGGAAGACCTGTAGAACCGGTTAAAAGCCATTTATTTGTTAACTGTGCAAGTCAAATGTCTGCCCAACTTTAATTCCCAGGGAAATGTGAAATACACTAGATAGCAGTTTATCTTTCTGGAGTCCTTCACTTTAGGGTGAAAGGTGGTATCTTTTTTTCTCCTCGCCTCGTGAGCACGCGAAATGCTTACGCTGGGTCAGAGCACTCGGCCCAGCAGGATCTGCCAGGGCGACACAAGAGACAGCGAAAATAGCTAGGTTCCTCCCCAAGACTCCAGGAGCTCAGGAAAGTTTTCCACACCACTTTGAACAGTCTTCAAATGAATGCATGTTTTCAGTTTATACCACTTCCTGGAGAAACTGGTGTGTGAAGCACTGTGCACAGAGTAGTTGCCAGCTTCAAACAAATCAGTTTCCTCTTAGTTCCTGTCCTTACAGATTGCAGGTACCGTGTGGCAAACATTTGGATAGCTCAGCACTGATGGACATGTGAGCTTGAGAGATGAATGGTTACCCAGCACCACCAAAATAAAAAATATCTTTCCGAGCCCGAGTTTAAAAATTCAATTCCTAGTTTATTCATCAAACGTGTAGATCAGGCTGTATCTTAACCTACCCACTGATAAATGCCTTGTGAGAATAGAGGATAACATTTTTCAAAACGTCATCCAAGAAACGTTTTTCTCTTAAAAGACAAATCCGGGACACCGTGAACTGGATTTTCAGCGAGCAAATGTTGGTTTACTACATCAACGTTTTCCGGGATGCTTTTTGGCCACATGGGAAATTGGCACCTCCAACCACAATCAGAAGCGAAGAACAAAGTCAGGAAACAAAACAGAGAGCACAGCAGAAGCTGCTTGAAAACATTCCAGGTGAGGCCTCAGTTCTGATCCTGAAACGTACAGAGACACAAAGGGAACTAACTTTATTAAGGCGTTTTTCATTTATATCTCTCAGAAAACGTTATTTACGTTGAAAAAAAATGATCAGTTTTTTTTCTTTTAAAACTTGTCCCTTGCTAAGGAATTATACTGAGAATCTTAATGAGAACAGTAGTGGTTGTAATGCTTTTTTTAATTAGAAAAATGTTTTAGAACAGATAGTAAGTTTTGTGCTTTAAAAATCCTGCCAGAGTACACGGTTTAGAGAGGTTACTTTTGAATTGGGTAGCAATGTATTCAAATTGTAATTTGTATAAATGCCTGATGTCGAAAACTTCTAAATAGACTTATTTTCTCTTTAAACATTTGAGAGAACTGATCGTTTATGTCCCTCCTGCCCCAGTGCCTTTATTTGTTGTGGGTACACCGTGTCCTGTCTCCTTCACTGAATATGCGTGGATTGTAAACTTTTTGTCAGTAGTAGCACAGAATGTAAACCTGATTTTTCAGATACGCTTCAGAGCCTCGTTGGACAGCAAAATGCCCGGCATGGTATAATAAAAATCTTCAACGCACTGCAGGAAACAAGAGCCAATAAGCATCTGTTATTTGTGAGTAATTGAAAGGCAACCAGAGGATTTACTGTTAATTCAGTTTTACGTTTCTGTTCACATGTGGGGGTTGCATACTTAATCATTCTTGTTGCTTATAACTCTCACCCCATTTATGTACTGTGCTTCATTGTCATCTGACTGTTCAGTTGTTCAGTTTGGTAAAAGAAAAGGGAAAAACCATGCCTCCAGCGCGCAGTCCGTCCTTCTCTCAGACCAGATGCGCATCACCTTTTTGTGTGACTGCTTAGTTTTTGTACTTCAGCAAAGCAGACTGTTTCCAAGTCGTCTGATTATAATGTTAAATATGAAATACTGTTGATGGTGTGACATGGCAAGGAGACCCTGAAATGAATCAATCTGATATTAAATGGAGCTTATAGGAGTTCCATTCATTTGAGAGTGAGTGGTTTGTGGAGAATCATCTTAGACCTAAAATTAGACTTTTCTCTTAGACATAGGCGTGTACCCTTAGAGAAAAATCCCACATTTTTCTACTTTTTTTTTTTTTTTTTCCCTCTTTCTTGGTTTAGGTGCTGATGGAATTGCTGCTAATTGAGCTGTGTCCTGAGCTGAGAAGTCATTTAGATCAGCTGAAAGCTGGCCAAGTCTGAGACTGCACAAACAAACCACCAGAGAAATGTCTGTGTAACAATAGACATGAAATATTTTCCTCTTTTCCGCAGAGGGCTTGATTGAGAACCATATTGATTTTTATGTTAGTTACCTCCCTCTAGTTTCGTGGGAAGTGAGCGGAATTGGTTGGGGAGGGAGAACTTGATGCTGTCACAGGTAACAGAAAAACACACTTCTGTTAATTATTTTTACTTTAATAATAATATAAGTTCAACACACTGATTGAAATACAGATGTTAATATGTGATAAGAACTTAGGAAATATTTTAAATATTTATGAAAACTGTTTTGTTTTAAAATGAAGAACTATGAATACTGTACAGTTACTTTCCTCACTGAGGACTCTGAACATTCCTCTGTTATTTCATGTGTATTGAAGAACATTGTTGTGCAATGCTTTGTGTAAAGTTCTTGTGAAAATTTTTTTGTCTTTATTTTTACCAAAGATTTCCCATAGTTTGAAGCATTTGAAGCAATAAAATATAAAAATGAATCACAGAGCTCTATGATTTTTAAGGTGCTTACGTCTCAAAAAACTGAGGTTAAAATACATCAGGCAGTTCAAATATTTATCGAGTAATTTTTTTGTTTTGTTTGGCAAAACCATTGTGCACCTAAGGATTTCTCCAAGGAGGTATACACTTGGCTGCCTTCCTCCAGACACAGAATGAATATGTGAAAAAATCTGATTTTTAGTGTGAATGAGAAGAGCCAAATTAGTGCTTGAAATGATGTGTTCGGGAGAGTGGGATAGGAGCCGGGCTTTGAAGGGTGGGCAGGAATGAGATAGGGAAACACAGGTGGGAAGGGACTTAAGGGACTTTGGGGACTTGATTATATCATCAGGTCTTGTGGACTCGGGCGTTAAGTGAGATCCAGGGTATGGGTGTTTTGTTATCAATAGTGGAGCCATGAACAAGTCACTTAATAAACATTCACCATCTATCATGCAGTGATAATAAAACACTTGCCTCTCTGTAGCCCCCAGGAACATTGAAAGCAAAATAATGGGCAAAAATTCAGTTTGAAATCCATGAAAGAAAACTACTGTATCTATACTCAAGTGGTACTGATTATGGCATTACTAGATCACACCTGCCAAGTTCTCGATATGAAACATAAGTTCTAAAAGGTAAACGATTAAAAATTAGTACACCAAATTTTATCTTTGGGATTCTTTTAGTCACGGCTCTTTGATCCTTTTTTTTTTCAAACCAGGATGATATTTGACCCTTGAGAAAAAAACCAAAGTTGGCTGTTTGTATGAGTAAGAATTATCCTTCACAGGGATAGAAAAGACACATTCAGATAAGAGAAGCAAATGAAATCACCGAGCCTCAGGATGTCATCGTAACACAGTTACTGGTAATGTCCACCTTGTGTGTAATTAAACCATAGCAGTTACAAGTGTCCACTGCAAGTGAGAAAAATAACTATTTTGACTCCTCAATCTTTCTTGAAGGTAAGTTTCAACTTCATCATGAGCTATCAGCTATAAGGAATCTTAGAAGTTTTGTTTTGTTTTTTGTTTTAAGATTAATGATCTGGAAGCCTCAACTCAACGTGAGTTAAAGAGTGAGACTCCACTCACAGGTCAAGGTGTGTGCCACGGTCTGCAGCAGTGGTAGTTTGCAAGGGCTCGTCTGTGCCAGAAGTACCCCCTTTATGGTAACGACAGTAAACTGAAATTTTGAATTCTGTGTCGGATTTACTGAAGACACTTAAGCGTAGCATATTACCACATATGACGCGTGTCAAATTCCTACGCTGGGGATTTCTCAGACCTGTGTTTTAATGGCAGTCAAAAAAGTGGTCTCTGGGGTGAAGGAAGATTCGCTTATCTATCAAGTGTGCTGTTAAAACCAACAAGCACTGCCTTATTACATTCCACTTTTCGGATTCTTACAGGCTTAAGGGACTGGATTAAGTGTGGAGAAAAGAATACTGGTTGGGGATTTAGATCTTCCGATGGTTGAAGGAATACCATGTATGGATGGTATTAGGAGCAGAGCAAGTGGGCTTATATTGTAGAAGAGATGTAAGCTAGGTAGTGTGAAATCTTACAAAGGGTTTGACGTATTGAATCACGTTCCTGGAGGAAATGAGGGAGTCTTCGGTAGAGAATTTAAAAGAAAAGGATTAGTTTTCAGGAATGGTTTAAGTTTATCCGTCTTAAGAGATTTAAGAGAGAAGTATGTGATGTTGAGGGCATCTCACAGACCTAAGTGTTGAAATTGCTTTCCTTTTTATAGAGTGGCAAAATGAAGTTCAAGTAACATAGACAAAGCGGAACATGAGACAAGAGCAAGTAATTTTCTACCATACATACTTCTTTAGTGCCTGATGCCTACGGATTAATTGTACTAAGATGAGATCCTGTTTAAACCCACTTTCAGAAAGGATGGTAGTGATTTATAAAATAAAGCCACATCAGTGTATGCTTACAGGAAGGTGTTGATAAGGTATCTTTAAGACATTGTTTTCAGTGTATCTGTTTCAGACATATATTGCTATACAGTCTTCTCCATGTGGATCCTATTATTTGTATTATCAGCGTTTATCTTTATGGACCTCATTAATGCAAGGAAAGCCTAATTAAAAATTTTAACATATTTAGATTCAGTTCTTATATTGAGAGATGATTTGAAATTTTTTTCACATTTTACTTTGCTTTGAAATGAATCTTAAGGTTTTTTTAATCTAGCAAATGAGTCTAAGCACAAAGAAACATCTCTCTTAACTGATTATCTTATCGGGAATATAGCAGTTGTCTTATTCATTAAGATCTTTAAGGGAAGATTCTAAGCAGTTTCTTAAACCTACTTTTTTTGAAGTTGATAATAAATTAGCCAACTATTTAAAAGAATTTCTTTTAAGAATACAAGATGTCCCAAAAGACTTAGTACAGTCTTAGCTTTAATTGCTTTGGAAGTATAAATGCTACACAATTAAAGAACATTATTTGAAAGTTTCTTTAAATTCTTTTTAACAGTTTTATGAATCTTAAAGATTTTTTAATGTTTATTTATTTGCGAGAGAGAGCGGATGCAAGCAGGGGAGGGTCAGAGAGAGAGGGAGACACAGTCTGAAGCAGGCTCCAGGCTCTGAGCTGTCAGCACAGAGCTTGATGCGGGGCTCAAACTCACAAACCGCGAGATCATGACCTGAGCTGAAGTCAGATGCTTAACTGACTGAGCCACCCAGGTGCCCCTTAAATTTAAAAATTTTTAATGAAAAACAACAAATTAAAATTAATAATCCAAAATTCACAAAACTAAGTGAGGGTTAAAGAAATTTTAAAGAGTTAAGCTTTCAGTGTTTTTTTATAAGTTTGTAGCATTTATACTTTTGAAGTTATTAAAGCTAAGACTGCACTAAGTCTTTTAGACACTCCGTATTTAAAAAAAAAAAAAAGATAATTTTCTTTAGGGAGTGTTTTTCTCTATTTGATATGATCTAGGCCAGTCTGTAGGCAAAGAGCTGGATCTTTAAGGACTCATTTAGCAATCAGATCCTATACCTAAGGTTTTGAGTTATAAAATTACAGATGTAAGAACAAAGGTAACATGTCATCAGAATACCCAGGATATTGTAACTTGGGATGCAGAAAATAACCAAACAGCGTAGCGACTATAAAAACACACACCGTTCTAAGGTGCCAGGGTTGATGGTCTTTGTTGAAACGCATTATGATCTAAATTCTTTGATGTATAAGTAAACAGTGAAGTTCATCTGCCAATGCAGGGTTCAGACGGCATGCCTTAAAATCAGAGAGAGAGAGAGAGTCAGTTATATTTAGATACATTTTGAATTGTTGGGTCTTTCTTTTTTTCTTCCTTTTAAAAAGTTTTTTTTTTCTTTTTAAGAAGTACAATGATTTTAAGGTAATTTCTTAAGATTCATTTCTGTTTTGATTTCTTGATTAAGGAAGTTCAAATTAGCCTCTGCAAAACAGATCACCCTGAAAATTACCATGCTATTGGCACTTGAAAGAGAAAATTTTATCAGTGCCAAGAATAAAGGGAATTTAATGGTAGCATTCTATGTTAGGAATTATTAAAATAAGTAACATGGAAAGCATTAACATTTGGCCTCAAACTCGCTATTATCTTATTATATGAATAGCAGCATCTATGAGAATCGTACTTTAAAGTAACATTTTGTTATGATAAATAGCGTTAAGTAACAGTGCATATAACTACATAGAACGTCAGGAATCTGGAAGAGACATCCGCGATCATCATCTCATGCAGACCGCACTCCATGCAGTAAGTGTCCCTTCAGTACCCATGACAGTTTCCCTTCAGTACCCATGACGGTTGCTCACTAGATTGCTCACTAGTTGCTTGGTTACTAAGTCACCATCTTATAGGAAACCTTTTGTTTTTGTTTATTTTCCAAACAGTTGTATTAGAAGATCCTGCTTTGTACTCAGCTTAAGTTTCCTTCCATATGCATTAGAAGCAGTAAAGGTCCTAGGAGAATATGTAAAGCTGGTTTCATGGAGATCCTGGGGGGCAAGGTGGTTGGCAGTCACCATCCTGACGGTGGCAGAGCTGAGAGTAAGTGTGGGTCTCCTGACTGTAGGCCCCCTGTCTCCACACCAGCCAGGGCCTTATCTTTTCCCCCTGCCTAACACGCTGCCGTTGGCTATCATTCTGCTCCCCGCCCTGCTGTTCCTTTTCTGTGGGACAGCCTTTCAGTCTGGTGAAGACGACTGTCTGGACTCCTGTCCTTTTGTTTCTAAATAAAATACTCAATTTATGCTCATGGGACAGGATTCCAGACCCTTCACTGGCCTACTACTTTGGAATCTTCTCCCTTGTTAAAAGCATCTCCTGTAAAAGACAAAGGCCCAAATTGAATACTGGGGATATTTTCTCCCATCCTGGGAAAAACACTTTTAAGGTTGCAGTCTGTTTGTTTCGCTGTTTTATTTAGGATGAACATATACCACATTTCAGGATTTTGTTGACTCAGAGTTTTCTCTGGTTCTGTTTATTTGGAAAAGACATGAAGGATAACACAGAACTTGAAATTGACTTCGTTTGGAAATCAGTATAATACAGAGAACATTTAGATTTTGTAAAAAGTTGAAGACAACGATTTTTCATACTAACAGAATGGTGTGATGGTAAATATCTCAGTTGAATTTGTGTACTGTGTTCCTATATTTATGTGTTGATATGGGCTTAGTGCTGTGGAAATTTTAATTTCAAACAAATTAATTTAGGGGTTCCAAAAGTTAACTGAACATTGGAGTCCTCGGGAGAGCTTTCAGCAAATACACTTGGGTTGCACTCTCAGAGAACATGATTTAATTGTTCTGAAATAAGACTTGGGCTTTGGAATTTGTTAAAAATACCCAAGTGATTTTAATATGCAGAGAAGGTTGAGAACCACTGCTGTTAAATGGTCAGATTCAGGCAGAGGACTCGGAAAATTGTTCCTTGCCTTGTTCACCTGCTCCAGCTAAACAATTTGTGCACCCCATGAATTGCTTTATAAGTTTTAATAAGGTATAATTCTACTTTGGACTTCATGGATGTCATCGACCTAAGACATGCAGTTGTGTGTGTGTGTGTGTGTGTGTGTGTGTGTGTGTGTGTGTGTTTATTTTTTTAAAACTTTACTTACAGTTACTATTCATGATGATTCCCCCCCTTTCTCACTCCCTTCCCACTTTCTAAGTTGCTTGATTTTAGAGGTGAAATCCATTTGGGAGCTAATCCAAATGGATTAAAACAAGGAAAGTCTTACTTCAACTGATCACCTCAAACTCATGATTGAGTTTGGGTAGTGTGCATCAGGCTCTGTACTCGTAGCTTGCGATTCTCTCTCTCCCTCTCTTTCTGCCCCTCCCTTGCTTGCATGCTTGCTCTGTCTCTTTCTCTCTCTATCTCAGGTTTTTTTTTTTTTTAAGTTTATTTATTCTATTTCATTAAGGTACTAGAATGAGAATAGGTTCATACTTCTGGTTAGAAGGAGGCATGAATACTCTGGCTATAAGGTCTTGGTGCTGGCCCTTAGGCTCCAGAGGGTGGCAGGGTGAGTGAGAATAATTTGCATCAAAATGGAACTTTTACCATCTGAGTTTAATTATGCTAATAGGAATCTGGCAGAACTGTCTGCAAATAATCTACGTGTCTGACAACCTCTCCTAGACAGATTATCTGTGCAATAACTAAGTAGGAAAAATACTAATCCATAAAGATGTTCAAGTCTTAACTAAAAACTCAGAAATTTCTATTTGAGTCAATGTTGTTTGTGCTCAGGCTTCCTTACTTTAGAATAGTAGTGTTTCGCTGTCGCTTCATCTTTTGTGACCCCCAAGCCAAGCTGAAGACATCGGGCGTGGTAGAAGGATGCCATGGCCATGCCTCTGGTGATGAATTCCGGGAGACAGTCTGTGACCCGGGCTATCGTAGGGATGTCATGAACTTCATCGTAGTCAGCAATCCTGTGGCGACATTTAATTGTGAAGTTGAAAAGGACATGAGTTCTAGTTTACATTTTTACAAATTGCATGTTCAGAAGTGGTGCCCAAAGTAATTTCCCTATTTCCACCTGTTTGAGAACTAAGTTGTTTGTGGTATTTGTTTTGTGGTGAAGGGTAAATAAAACCGCCAGTTAAAACCAAGGGAAGAGGAGCTAACAAAGAGTTTACTTCACAGATTCTCTATAATCATACTTGTCAGTCAGGCTTAATAACCACTAGAAAACACAAAAGTTTATTTTCTTATAGTAATAATATTAAAAAAAATTTTTTTTAATATTTATTTTTGAGGGAGAGACAGCATGAGTGGGGGAGGGGCAAAGAGAGAGGGAGACACAGAATCCGAAGCAGGCTCCAGGCCCTGAGCTGTCAGCACAGGGCCCGACGCGGGGCTCGAACCCACAAACTGTGAGATCATGACCTGAGCCGAAGTTGGATGCTTAACCAACTGAGCCACCCAGGTACCCCATAATAATAATATTTTAAACTTAATAACACCTTGCAGATTTAAACAATGGGGAAAAAGCATTTTCTATTTCTTTGAATCATTTATTCAAACATTGACCTTAAATTTGGACTTCAGTCACATAGGATCAGAAAACATATGAAGAAACTTACACATCTATCTTTGTTAAAAAGTGGGCAAAAAAAGTCCTCCTTCATAACCCTGGCACAAGTCTAGAGGGTTGTGTGAAAATGGGATCTACTTAACCTCATGTCACCCATGATATTATGAGGAGTAGGAATGTGGACAGTAATGGAAAGTTTGACAGATTTTAAAGTCTTGGTTTTAACCAGATGGGCACTTAGACTTTAGGGACTTTGGGGACCACACTTGTAAGTGACCTGCTCCCTGGGAGCCATGATGTTGGGGAGAGGGTGGAACCAAGTCCTTCAGGCAACATTGTGGATGACTGCCCCACACTGGGTGAGGGAAGAGGGGGTCCCAGGGGCTCTGTCAGGCATTATTGGGAGGGAAATACATCAGCATGGCCTTACAGCCTCTCTAGGGGACATCCACGCCTGTTTTTCCTGGTATATTGCTTTTGTACATTATGAGTAAATAAATGTGGGGAAAGTACATGGACTCAGAGAAGAGAATCTCCATGTATTTTATAAGGTGTTAATACTGGCATCTCTTAACCATTCTCATTTTACAATCTTTATCAAGCTATCTTGCAATTGTGCAGTCATAGAACATGTGGCTGAAGAGTCTATGAAGAAATTAAAACATATTTAATAAGCATTTCTGATGTGCTAAGCTATGTTAAGTACTTTATATGTACTATGTTAGTAATCCTATGGAGGTATTTTCTTCTTTATAAAAAAAGGAAATTCATGCCCCCAAAAGTCAAACGTGATTAAGATCATCAGCTGGTACACAGAGTGAATAACACTGAAATCCTGAAGACTGATAGCACAGAATTAGACTCTTCCAAAATCTAATGAAATGTAACAGGTGAGTCGTCAGTTGCACTTGCCACATTTCAAGTGCTCACTAGCCGTCATTTCCAATATTGTAGCAAGTTCTATTGAACAGACCTGGCATAGAACATCTGGGAGGAGGTTTTGGAAATACTTTTATCCAGCTTATTTACCTTTTGGAAAATGTAACACACTTAGTAAAAAATTTCATTTTATAGTAATACTCCACGAGATTCCCTTGAGCATAGACGTTTCCACGTTCTGCCGCTTCCCTTAAGCACTGCAAGGCAGCTTCAGGGTCCTGGCGGATGCCTTGTCCATAAAAATACATCAGCCCAAGTGCACCCTGGGACTCCAGATTTCCATTGCCACACGCTTCTGAATGCCAATAAAATGCCTAAGAAAAAGCACAATTTCATCTTTGTTACCCACCAGGCAAAATTATAAGGGAATACTGGAAAGAAAGAAAAAAATCTCTAATTATGAGATAGTGTGCATAACTTATCTCTAGGAAACAGTTTTAGCACCTTGTGTGTGTTTCAGGTGAGCGCCAGTTTCACATATCCAAAAGAGAGGTTGGAGGTCACAGCCTAGCCAGTTCAACTGTCATAGGATTCAAGATTTTCTGGTGTTTCCCGAGGAAGGATCAGGAAGGTAGGAAGTAGGAACTAAGTGTCTGCTAGGCTCTGAGACACCCTGCAATGAGGCCCGGCAAGGAGAGGAGAGCTGCTGATGCCGAGATCTCAGAGGTGGCGCCTGTCGATCCCAGGCAGCCGAGATAAAAGCTGCATGTGCTTGCAAGCCCATTTGCTCAGTACTCAGCTACAGTGACTTTGAATTGGTTCAAAAAATTATTTCCAAGTGGCTGCTTAGTTATCCAAAGAGGGTCTTGTTCGGGTGGTGTTTCTTGTGAGTTTGTTCTTCATGCCTCTTACAAGTAGCACGTGGCCCTACGTTTCCTCCAACCCATACGATTTCTTGGAAAATGTTTCAATCATTGATGATTAAAGAGATTGTATTTATGCAAAAGTCGTAAATGGATTTAATTTTTAACTCATTTTCGTGTGTATTTTACTTACTAGCATCATTACTTTCTCAGAACAAATTAATTTATTCACATAATAGGATTTGGGCCATATTTTAGGACTCTCTCAGCTTTCATGGTATAAAATATTTTGTACGTGTGGCTTTTTATAGTGTAGAAAGTGCTCTCACATCCGTGGAATCCTTTGGTAGAGGTAGGGAAAAGGTAGACCATAGATGAGTAAAGGGTAAAATGAGCTTTGAGATCCCAAACTGTAAACTTTCTTTACACTTTAAAGAAATGTAAGAGATCTTTAAAACTAGACACTCATTCTTTACTGCCCTCCCTTCAGAAAAGAAATTATTATTAATTTCTGAAATAAATATTAATCTATGCGAGGTGCTGGCGTTAAAAACAAATAGATCAGTGTTACCTTTTCTAATTCTTTGGGTTCTTTTGTGGAATAATACAATCCTAGGATACTTTGAGCTTTCACACTAGCTTTTGGATTTCCATTGTCTGCAGCAAAAAGCCACAGTCTAAAAGAAAAAAAGGGCAAGTTACTCTTTGTGTCAGCATTTGATTAAAAAGAAAAAAAACAACAACACTTGTTTTCAGGTAAGACTACCTTTCAGCTTCCTCATCTGATCGTTTGACACCTTTCCCTTCATAATAAGCTCTTCCAAGGTTGTAGGCAGCTGCAAATTGTAGGTGTCTTGCTTTGGGACATGGAGAATGGATGATTTTCTTCATGTATTCCACTCCTTTTTCCTTCCACAAAGGAAAAGAACAAACAAAAAAAACCCAGTTTTTAGTTTTATTCAAACTAAATTCTTTTTCCCAGTAATGGTGTAAAAGTCTTCTTCCTGTGACACGATGTTTGATGTCATGGGTCTGTGCCCAGGCAGACGGTTGCCCTTTAGTCTGCAGAGCTGGAAATAAGGGAGGAGGGGGGTGGGACAGGGAGGGAAGGGAAGAAGGAAGGGTATATCTCCTGAGTAGGCATTCCCAGAGCTCTGAGATCTAAAGCATATAAGGCATTTCCCTCATGTTTTAGCTTCCGCAGTTGGATTATGTTTCAATGTGATTTCTTTTTTCTCTCCTCCCTTCTACCTTATAGCCCTTATTCTGGATGGGCACAGTTTTTAGAACTTATCAACGTACAAGAATAGCTGTAACTTCTTCCACATTTCCAGTCAGAGTACACTTGTGAGCCCCAAACACGATGTTCTTCCTTCAAGCACACTAAGTACGCTCAGTGATAATTTACATACAACATGCTATTCATATGACATCTGCATAGTCACAAAGAGCACACAGGAAGATGTTGCCCCCTCCAAAAAATCCATCAGGCGCAGACTGTCAAACATCATTCCCAAGAAGAAAATGTTTGACGATCAAACCCATTTTCTATACACTGCATTCTAGCTTTTATCCTTCACTGCTCTCTCCAAGTTCTGTTGCTGGCTAAATACCACAGTGATAGAAGATAAAGGTGTTTGCTTTTTAGTGAGTCCCAATTTATAGAGATTTGTCTTTGTGAATGTGTGACGTACATATTTACCTTTTTTTCCTTTTTTTTTTTAACCTTTTTAAAAATATTTATTTATTTTTGAGAGACAGAGCCAGGGAGGGGTCGAGAGAGAGAAGGAGACTCAGAATCTGAAGCAAGCTCCAGGCTCTGAGTGGTCAGCACAGAGCCCAATGCAGGGCTTGAAATCATGAACAATGAGATCATGACCTGAGCCAAAGTTGGACGCTTAACTGACTGAGCCACCCAGGCGCCCCTTTGCCTTTTTTTCTAAACCTAATAGTAAGAGGGAATTTACTGGTGGTCGAGTGAGTTGGTTGTGTAAATCCTTCCACAGATAGCAATGACTAAATCTGGAGCAAACGTTAAAAACATTTTTTTTTTTTAAGACACTGGAAAGTTTACCAGAGCATATGCAAGCCAGAGGAGAGATTACTCTTAAAAACTGCAGCTGATGGGGTGCCTGGGTGGCGCAGTCGGTTAAGCGTCCGACTTCAGCCAGGTCACGATCTCACGGTCCGTGAGTTCGAGCCCCGCGTCGGGCTCTGGGCTGATGGCTTGGAGCCTGGAGCCTGTTTCCGATTCTGTGTCTCCCTCTCTCTCTGCCCCTCCCCCGTTCATGCTCTGTCTCTGTCTGTCCCATAAATAAATAAAAACGTTGAAAAAAAAATTAAAAAAAAAAACAAAAAACTGCAGCTGGAAGTGATCCATGAAGTTCAGTGAACCTCAGGCGGGATAAACATGAAGTAGATTTCCCAGGCATACATCATGGTCAAACTGCTGAAAGCCGAAGAAATCTTGAAAGTAGCCTGAGAAAAATGACACATGATGTACAGGAGAACAACTATATAATTAGTATTTAAGAAGACTGAAGTCATGCCATGCATCTTTTTGGACCGTAGAGTATGAAACTAGAAATAAATCACAAGAAAAAAATAGGGGAAAAAACACAAGGAGGCTAAACAACATGATTCTGAACAACCAATGGGTCAACAAAGCAAAGAAGAAATCAAAATATGTGGAGACAAATGAAAATGAAAACAACAAAATCTTGGGAGACAGCAAAGGCAGTTCTCAGAGGAAAATGTGTAGTGATACAGGCCTACCTCAAGAAACAAGAAAAAGCTCAAACAATCTAAACTTGTATCTAAGGGAACGTAAAAAAGAAGAACAAAGCCCAAGGTAAAATGATGTAAAAGGAAGGAAATGGTAAAGATCAGAGCAGAAATAAATGACATAAGAGACAGAAAAAAAAATCAATGAAACCAAGAGCTAGTTCTTGGAAAAGATAAACCTATGCCAACAAATGGGACAACCTTGAAGAAATGGATAAATTCCTGGAAACGTACAATCTTCTGAAACTGAATCAAGAAATAAATCTGAATAGGTTGATTACTAGTAATGAAACTGAATCAGTAATTTAAAAAAAACTAACAAAAAAATAAAAGTCCAGGAACAGATGGCTTCATAGGTAAATTCTACCAGACATTTAAAGAAGAGTTAAAACCTATTCTCCTAAATGATTCAAACGATAGAAGAGGAAGGAAAGGTTCCATATGCATTCTGTGAAGCCAGCATTGCCCTGATACCAAAACCAGACAAAGACACCACAAAAAAAGAAAACTATAGGCCAATATCCCTGATGAACATAGATGCAAAACTCAACAAAATATTAGCAAGCTGAATCCAACAATACATTAAAAGGATCATTCACCAAAATCAAGTGGGATTTATTCTGGGGATACAAGGATAGTTCAGTATTTACAAATCAACCATGTGGTACGCCACATCACCAAAACAAAGGATACAAATCATATGATCATCTCAACAGATGCAGAAAAAGCATCTGATACAATTCAACATCAATTCATGATAAAAACTCTGAACAAGGTAGGTTTAGAGGAAACATACCTCAACACAATAAAGACCTATATGAAAAACCCACAGCGGACATCTTACTGAATATGAAAAACACAGCTTTCCCTCTAAGATTAGGAATAAGACCAGGATGTCCATTCTCACCACTTGTATTCAACATGCTACTGGAAGTCGTAGCCACAGCAATCAGATAAGAAAAAGGAGTATTCATTTTGTTAAACAAGAAGTTAAACTATCACTATTGGAAGATGCCTGTGATACTATACATAGAAAACCTAAAGGCTCCATCAAAAACCTGTTAGAACTAATAAGTGAATTCAGTAAATTTGAAGTAGATAAAATTAATGCTCTGAAGTCAGTAGTATGTCTATATACTAATAAGGTAGCAGAAAGAGAAATTAAACTACACTTATAACGGTACCAAAAAGAATACAATGCCTAGGAGGTTAACCAAAGAAGTGAAAGACCTGTACTGTGAAAACTATAAAACATTGATGAAAGAAATTGAAGATGACACAAACAAATGGAAAGATATTCCATGCTTCTAGATTTGAAGAATTAACATTGTTAAAATGTATATATATTTTTAAATATTTTTTAGTATTTATTTATTTTTGAGAGAAAGAGTGTGAGTGGAGGAGGGTCAGAGAGAGAGGGAGACACAGAATCTGAAGCAGGCTCCAGGCTCTGAGCTGTTTGCACAGAGCCTGACATGGGGCTCGAACTCATGAACCGTGAGGTCATAACCTGAGCTGAAGTCAGTCGCTTAACCAACTGAGCCACCCGGGTGCCCCATCATTGTTAAAATGTACATTACGCAAAGCAATCTATAGAATCAATGCAATACCTGTCAAAATACCAACCGCATTTTTCACAAAATTAAAAAATTACTAAAATTTGCATGGAACTGCAAAAAACCCTGAAGAGCCAAAGCAACCTCAATAAAGAACAAAACTGGAGGTATCACAATTCCAGATTTCAAGGTATACTATGCAAAGCTGTAGTAAAGTGGTATGGTAGTGGTATGTAAATAGACACATAGATCAATGGAACAGAAGAAAGAACCCAGAATTAAACCTACAATTATATGGTCAAATAATCTATGACAAAGGAGACAAGAATATACAATGAAAGATAGTCTCTTCAATAAATGGTGTTGGGAAAACTGGACAGCTACATGTTAAAGAATGAAACTGGACCACTTTCTGATACCATACACAAAAATCAACTCAAAAGGGACTAAGGACTTAAATGTGAGATCTAAACCCATAAAGTTCCTAGAAAACAGGCAGTGATTCTAGCATTCGCCATAGAGACATTTTTCTAGATATGTCTCCTAAGGCAAGGGAAGCAAAACCCAAAATAAACTATTGGGACTACATCAAAATACGCTTTTGCAGCACAGTGAAGGAAACCACCACCAAAACAAAAAGGCCAAAAACCTACTCAGTGGGAAAAGATATTTGCAAATGATACATCTGACAAAGTTAATATCCAAATATATAAAGAACTTAGCCAACTCTCTCTCTCTCTCTCTCTCACACACACACACACACACACACACACACACACACACACACACACACAAATAATCCAAGTAGAAAATGTGCACAGGACCGTTTTTCCAAAGAAGACATACAGGTAGCCAACAGACACATGAAAAGATGCTCAACATCACTCATCATCAGGGAAATGCAAATCAAAACCACAATGAGACATCACATTGTCAGAGTGCCTAAAATAAAAAAGACAAGAAGTAACAAGTGTTAGAATGTAGAGAAAAAGAAACCCTTGTTCACTGTTGGTGGGAATGTAAATTGGAACAGCCAGTGTGCAAAACAGTATAATTTCAAAAAATTAAAAATAGAAATACCATATGATCCATTAATTCAACTACTGGGAATTTACCCAAAGATAACAAAAACAGTAATTTGAAAGGATCTATCCACTTCTTTGTTTATTGCAGAATCATTTACAATAACCAAGATATGGAAGAGTCCACTGATTGATGAATGGGTAAGAAAGATGTGGTACATATATATATGTATGTACACACACACACACACACAGGCATATCACTCAGCCATAAAAAGAGGATGGGACTGTGTCATTTGTAACAATGTGGATGGACCTAGAGGGTATTATGCTAGCTAAGTGAAGTAAGTCAGACTGAGAAAGATAAATACCATATAATTTCATTCATATGTGGCATCTAAAAAAATGAATAAATAAGAGGCAGAATCAGACCTGTAAATACAGAGAACAAACATATGCTTTGTGGACGGGAGGGGGTGGGGGAATGGGCAAAATGGGTGAAGGGGAGTGGGAGATACAGACTTCTAGTTATGAAATGTCACAGGAA